GCACATAATGCTCTCCAGTCCCTCCCAAGTTAGGTAATAATTTACAAAATCATTGTTCCTGTGTGCTGCATAGTATTCCATTGTGTAAATGTACCATAATTTCTCAATCCATTTGTTCGTGATTGGACATTTGAGCTGTTTAAATGTCCTTGTGAGGGTGAGTAATGCTGCTGTGAACATTAGTATACAAATCTCCATTTGTGCCTCAGTTCTCATTTTCTTAGACAAGAGTCTTATAACAAATGTTTACAGAACACTCCTGTGCTTCCACAAGAAAAAAACATAACCCAATTACAAATGGGCAAAAGACATGGAAAGAATTCTCACAGAGGAAGATATTTGAATGGCAAACAGACACATGAAGAAATGCTCCAAATCACTGACAATAAGAGAGATGCAAATCAAAATCACAATGACGTACCATCTCACTGCAGTAACAGTGGCAAAGTTACACAGGGCAGCAAGTAATAAATGTTGGAGAGGATGTGGCAAGAAAAAAACTCTTATACATTGTTGGTGGTATTGTAAAATGGTACAACCATTCTGGAAAGCAGTTTGGTGCTTCCTCAAAAAGCTGAACATAGAAGTCCCATATGATACTTATAGTATTTTAAGGATCCCTAATGGCATTCAGTTGCCAACCAGAAAGTTCAGAGGTTCAAGCTCATCAGGTGCTCCATGGGAGAAAGATGATCTTTATACTTTTGTAAAGATTTACAACATTGGAAACTCTATGGCGTAGTTCTACTCTATTCTAAGGAGTTGCAACTCAGTGACATCTGGTTTGTTTGCTGTTGTTGTTATGTACCATCAAGTCTCCCACAACTCATACCAACCCTATGTACAACAGCTATAAAACCTGCTCTGTGCTGAGCCAGTCTCACTGACTCTGACACATCTAATTCTATTGCCCTAGTTACCATGTCAATCCATCTCTTCCGGGGTCTTCCTCTCCTGCACTGTCCCTCTACTCTTCCAAACATGATGTCCTTCTCCAAGAACTGGTCCCTCCTGGCCATGTGCTGTCCAAAGTATGT